CCCCCCCCTCATTTTTTAATTCCCCCAGCGGTCTCCCCATTTTTAACGCCAAAAAACTCCATTGGAGCCCACCATTCCCACAAATAGTGTAGATTCTCGGTATTGTAGCAAGCTAACATCGGATCTAAGGCGTTATCGCGTAGTGGATTGCTCGTTTCGGCTCCCAAATCATCAAATCTTCACCTTTCAAAAAATTTAAAATCGAGGTATTCCAACTTATTTTTTATTAAAACTCATGTATTAAAAATACATATTAGTTATTTTTTACTATGATATATGTTCTTTTGTGATTGTTTTGCGATTTAATTAATTTATTATTTTTTATCTGGATTAGATTATTATTGTGCTAAAAAAGTAGTAAAATAGAGAAATTGTTATTTTATGAATAATTAATGTTATTAGTTGCTATAAAAAATGTTTATTAGTTGTTTTTTACTGTGGTATATGTATTGTCGTGATTGTTTTGTGATTAAATTAATTTGTTATTTTTTATCCGGATTAGATTATTTATGTGCTAAAAGATTAGTAAAATAGATAAATTATTATTTTATGAATAATTAATGTTATTTAGTTCCCTTTAGTGTTATGTTGTGCCCGTAATTTTAATGTATTGCCCGTAAGTATAATGTGGTGCCCTTTAAAGTTCCTACACTATCAATGCAATTTAACATGTTGTAAGGCAGGGGCGGATTTAGGGGGCGGAAGGGGATTCACCCGAACCCTCTTTCCCGGAAAATTACACTTTTTATATAAGGCAAAATCTGTTTTGTATCTCTATATATTATATTTTGTATCCCCTTGACACAACCTAAAAGCATAGTTCAGTGGTCAAACGGGTTCAAAACTTTTATAAGGTCATTGGGTCAATTTCCTCATTAGCCACAATTTCTTTTAATTTTTGAACTTTTTCGAACCCCCATAGCGGAAATCCTCACTTTCTTTTAATTTTTGAACTTTTTCGAACCCCCTTAACGGAAATCCTGACTTTGTCACTGCTATAATGTTACTTACCTTTATTAAAGATTACCAAGCAATACTGACTAAATAGAGTTACATATAATTACCTATTAAAATACCTGAGTATGTAAATATTTTTACACATGACCGGTTATTCCTGCTAGTTTTAAAGTTTTGCCAATTACTACCTTAGTTGGTTGTACAAACACTATACACATATGTATTTCTAGAGCTTTAAAAAGATAAACAAGAAACTTCTAAGATGACATGAAAAGAAAGTTTTACAGGATAAAGCTCACACAAAAGAAGAATTTGACAAAAGGCTACATTACACTACAACTTCATTTACATAGAAAAGCCAATATTGCACCTGGTGCACTAAGCTCCCGCTATACGCGGGGTCCAGGGAAAGGCCGGACCACAAGGGTCTATTGTACGCAGCTTTATCCTGCATTTCTGCAAGAGGCTACATAAAAAATACTAGCTGCTGACAGGCCACATTATACAAGATTACACGGGGAGAAAGAAGAAAACAAAACGTTTTAGAGCAGAAATCGTTGAGCGATTTGCTTACTCCGACAACAAACTAACAATTTATTCCCACTGCTACATTCTTCCAGCTACAATTACAAATCTTTTGATGAATGTATCTCATGCATACCTGCAATAAATTGCATTGGCATTAGTTCGATTACCTAGCACCCAATATTTTAGAGAGCTCCTTTACTAAAGGCTTCTCTTTAACGTCTTCTCCCTTCTCTAAACGCCATTTCTTCGACTTTTCTTCAGCCTGTAAATGAAGGTTAAATTCCGTTAGATAGAAACAAAAGCATATATCGTACAATAGTTGAACGTTTATGCCCAACTTGCTTGATTTGACTTACCCAAATCCTTAAAGGACTCAGCTGCTCTTTGAATGTTTCCAATATTGGCTGAACAATGTCCTTCCCTTTTGTCCGAATATCATCAGACTGTCCACCGTCACAATCACCCACATATTACATAACCACAAACATACGATGGATCAACTAAGCAACACATTCGATCTAACTAAAAGCAACATCACCAGAACTGTCTAAACCAAAAATCAAATAAACCAATTCCTCAACTAAGCTCGACTAGAGCAGAAATGTGGTCGTAAAATTTCTCTACCTCAGACAGGTTACCATTTGGTTTTTACGTTCAGATATAGCTGCAAAATCTAGTTTGATGAGATCAAAAGTCACCAGGCACCAGATTTGCAAATTCAACGACTTAAAAATAAATATTTTCATATTTGCACATGTGACATCATAATCACGATATGAGAGGATCAAAGCTGTTTAAAACAGTCAGCTTTAGCCTAAGAGATCAATCAGAAAGTGTTTCCTTAGAAAAGAAAAGTAGTGGATTGATGGTTACTCCCATATGTAACGAACTTACAACATTGCGCTATGCCAGAATGTTTAGCAGAAACTAAGTTTGCAATACAGATTCACACTTCAATGAGAATGTCCATAAGGAAGTCAAAAGAGAAAGAAAGATTTGCTTACATTGTGCAACTCTAGCTTGGACGCTGCCAAGCTAAACGTCAAGGCGGAACCACCAAAGACAAGAGCAGTGGCAGCAGCAAATGCCTTTGCAACTACATTGAAGAGAACTTTAAACAATAAGGATCCAAAAAGAATAATACCTAAACAGATCATGTTTGAGTGGTTCTCTAGC